AGAGAGAGAGAGAGAGAGAAGTTACCGGGGGAAGGCGTCGCGATGCACCGCCGCCACCAGAAGTAGAGCCCGTCGGAGGAAGACGCCGTCGTCGCTGTTCGCCGATAAAGACGAAGACGGCCGAGGAGAACGCCGCACTCGTGGGGGTTTGGTGGGAGATGGGGGTTGGGGGTGTTGACACTGTTTCATCTGGTTCAATCAAACCAGAATCAAATGCAATTGACTCGATCCAGGCTCGACCCAGCCTGATTTGAATCAGGACAAGGCGAGCGCCTGGGCCGCGCCCGGTTGTAATTGCCCGCCCGCCCGGCCCACTTACCAGGCGCTCGCCCAGGCGCCTAGCACGTGACTTCACTGATTCAAAATAGCATCTTTTAGATGCCTCGTAAGTATATATACTTAACGAATATATATACTTCCAAATATTAAGATTATACACACACATATATATATATAATCATTAACAACCATCAATTGAAATTTTTTTAATCATGGCTAATAAAGTTTTGCTCGAGTTAAAAATTTATATAAAAATATAAAGTACTTATACACCTCTAACATTTGTGGCATGATGATTATTTTTAAATAAAATTAGTTTAAATGAGAGTTTTCAAGTAATAGTTGACTTATGATAGCTAATGAAAATTAAATAACAATAATGTCTAGGTAAGTTCTCTGAGGATAAATATATTTTTTCCTCGATTAACGTTGTACTTTCAATTGGGGAAAAAATAATCACGTTCAACCAAATAAATAGGATCCTTGTAAATAATCATTTTGTAATTGTTGGGATCAAACAACTTCACAATAAGTAAATATTATCTTTTAGATTCTAGCTTAATAATGATAAGGGATATCCATATAATGGTTCCTATGTAGTCATAACCTTGTTATTATTGTTATTTATCCTAAATATATAATTTTCATTATTGAATTCCAGCAGCAGCCGCAGCAGCAGCAGAGCAGACTTGATGAGTTGAGAACCAATGAGAACTAGGAAATGGTTCTACTTCAAAAAGCTGCTGCAGTAACAAAGGCAGGAGGAGGATGGATGTTCTCACTCGACGAAGGTGAAAGTTTCAGTGGCAGCAGCAGGACACAAAAAGTCCTCGCTGGTCCTGCAAACTCTGAATGCCCCTAACCACAATTGGCAACCCACCACAAAGGCTGCACAAGTAGTCCAGAGGTCGGTCAGACTTGCCGACCGAGACTGTTCGCCTGGTGTTCACAGACAAAGGAAAAGCCAAACGGCAGCCACAAATCTAAAAGTTCAGGCATGCTTGTGGAGCCCCCCAACCCCTCTTTTCAGATAAGGCACACCTACATGCACAACTAGCAGACAAACCCATAATGAGGGAAAGCTAATGTGTTCTTAAAAGCATGTACCCATTTCTTTCTTGAGGAGTGGAGACAAATGAGGGAAGCTAATCGAGCATGATTTGATGAAAGGACTTGAGGAGCATTAGTGATATTCTTTTCTCCTCATCATTCATTGTTGTCACTGATGTCAGAAAAAGCTGGTTTGCAGGCTTCTCTTTGCCTCTCGGTTCCTGCATCAGTTTCTAATTCTAGTGGGGAAGAACAAAAGAGTTGATGAGTAAAGAACGGAGGATGAGCATGAAAATGATGTAACATAAATATAGCAGTTTCATATATTTGGATGCGGAATAACATTTTAGACAATGCTTGTGTTAAAAAAAAAAGGGAAAGAAAGGATAATTTTACCTGAAAATTCTGCAACTGGCCTGCCTGCTCGTAAAATTTTATGCAATCTCATTCATCTATGAAGACCTCATCAGGAGGCAGCATAAACAATATAGAAAAGAAGTCAGTAGTTTACAAAATAATTCTAAAATTTTATGTAATCTCATTCATCTATGAAGACCTCATCAGGAGGCAGCATAAACAATATAGAAAAGAAGTCAGTAGTTTACAAAATAATTCTAAAATTTTATGTAATCTCATTCATCTATGAAAACCTCATCAGGAGGCAGCATAAACAATATAGAAAAGAAGTCAGTAGTTTATAAAATAATTATAAAATTTTATGCAATCTCATTCATCTATGAAGACCTGTCAATTTTCTTCAAGTCCTAAAATTGGAAGGCATGGTTTTGCAAAAACCCCAGATGTAGTAACTACTAGCACTGACGATTAAACTAGAACAAGTAAAACTTGCATGAATTAACTTTGGTTGACACTTTTGAGGGAAGAAACCATTCAGAAAACAACAGGCTATAAGCAGATCCACATTAACACTGATGTTTCCTTTTTCTCTTTGGGGGTTGGGACCAAGAACCCTAAAATTTTATCTACAAGGAATAAAAAGTAATATACATTGACCATTTCCAAACTCTATATTGACAGGACTTTTTGTATATTAGACCATCCCTTTTTTTAGGAGTTTCACCTGCATGGATTTTGAATAATAGTATTCATGTTTTCTAAACTAAGTTCAAGCAAAGCCAAACAACAACCTCACCATCTGCCTGCAATAACCTTGCTTGAGTGAGAACCCAATCCTTTTTCTCCACTTGGATGCAAGCTACCAACCTGTCACCAACCTCACTGGATCTAACTTTATCACAACACATACTTGTTGTAGCGTGGTCCTCTGCGTAGATTTGATCTCAGAGTGAACAGCCCCATGTACAGCCACATCTATTCATATCAGACAAATGTACCATATTTTCATTTCTCAGGAATAGGGAAAGAGAAGCTCCACCAAACTCATATCACGATTAAGCACAAATGCCATCCCTTACGTAAACCTTCTAAAGTTGTCTTATAAACCATTAACTCGAGCAAACAAGTAGGAGAAATCGAGGGCTCTTACCACGAGATCTTCAAAAAGTTGTTTAGTTGCATTGTTTTGGGTACTTAAGTTGCATGCACCTTTCTCAATCTTTGAACTTATAATTTTAAATACAATTTACACATCATAAGTCAAGACTTTTTTTTCAAATTATAGAAATCTTAAAGATGAATTGTGGTGAACCAAATTCCTGAAAATGTCAGGTAAGATCTGAATTCACCCAGATATGACTGAACACAATCCCATTAGAACTCCCTCCAAAATGCTCAGCTGATACAAAATATTTCAAAGAATTTACAGCTATTCCCACATGAAAGGTGATCTTATTTCCTTCTTACGAATTATGAGCACAAGAGTTTGGAAGCTGCCACACACTCATAGTTTCAACAACATGGGTTGGTAACAAGTACCATGAATCGTAATGAGAAAAGGTCAGCAGCCGTCAGGTTAATTGACCAATATCAGTTGATTGACAAAGAAACCTTAAACTGGAAAACAAGTCACCAACAGGTCACTGCCAAAGAACAGGTACCAAACCTTCACATGAACTCTCTCAATGTATTACCACATCTTCTATGACACCACAGACTTCTATAAATCCTTCTATTCGGGGCTTCAATATTAAAGATAACAGGCTATGGGTGAAAACCAAAGCCTTACAGTTCTACTTTCTTTTACAGGGAAAAAAAACCCTGCTCTCCTTGGAATTCTAACTTGGTTTTCATCTTTCTAATGGAAAATATAGAGAAAAAAAAAAGGAAAATCGACCATGTTGAAGGGCATGATGTCCCTTTCTCATTTGGTTGTCATAGTTGCTTCTAAGGCTCTTTCTGTCATCCTCAATAAATCTTTGTCAAGCTAGACAACTGAGCTTTAACACATCCTAAACACAATAATCTACATAAATTTTGAGTAAGAAAAAACAAGGTCGGAGTCCAATTTTTCAAAGGAGAAATGAACAATACTTGAATACCATTGCTCAAAGTTATGCAAGGAAGTATTAACAGACAAATAAGCTTAATGAATAACTTGAACAAAAACCATTTCACTTCTGACAGTGGAGTATGCGCAAGAACATTCCTTACTATCTTTTTGTTGGATCTTCATGACATGATGCATAAGAAACCTACAAAATACGGATGCTTCTGAGAGAAAAAAAGATTTACCTAACAAAATATGGAGAGTGCATCGGTAAAGCTTGTTCAAGTGTCTACAGAAAGAACGACTGTCACCTCAAGGATATGTTGTTTCTGCAAGACCGAATGAAGTTGCAGGCTGGAAGAGAAGATGTTATTAAGTGAAACTTGTAGAAACTTGCAATTTATTATTCATCAAACAGAAAAGTGGCATAATCATCAAATAATGGATTAAAAGCTGAGCTACAGGCTCTGTAAGATCCCACAGCTTTCTAGAATACATGATCATGTCTGCTTAGGAGAAAATCATACCAAGTACAGTTGAACAAGATGAAACCACTAAGTAGTAAGTTTCATCCTGGCATGTGAAAGACATACCATTCAGCGATCATGAGCTTTCCAATGGAAGATGATTTTCTCTACCAAAGTAGGAATCTAGTTCTTGGTGGCAAGTAGATCAGTTAATCAACCTGCCAACTAAAGTTGAAGTGAGGTGACAGCAAACTTAGAATTTTGCAAATAAGCCATCAATAGCAGTCATCCATTGATGTTAATTCACTGATTGCTCCTGGCAAACTTTTCTTTTTGAATTGATGAGCTATATCAGAAAATCAAAGAAATCAGTCGACTGGAAAAAAAAAATTTAAAATAAAGCCCCAGGAATACCTAAATGCGCGAAGCTTTGTTCACAGCTCATGGACCACTTTGTCACAGCTGATAGAAGAAAACATGGCTATGGATAGCTCCCAGTTTCAAAAAGAACCTTCATATGAAAAACACTATCAATTTAACAAACAGCTAGTTCCTTAGAATGTGTGTGGTAACTTTTATTATTACAAAGGAATAGATCAATATCAAGAAAAGGTAGTATGGTAGATTGACTAAAGAGTTTTAAGATAACAACAAGCAAATACAAAAGGTAATTGAATGAACAACCTTGTTCTTTATCAGTTTACTCCACTAGGTGTTAGTGTTACGATTCCACTTAAATAAGAAGACCAAAGTGAAAGAAAGAACAGTAACACATATTTGATAATACCCAAATGACATTAGTCCATAGAGCAATTTTCATTTATTTGTTTACAAGAGCTTGAATGGAGAAAGCTCAGAGAGCATTTTTTTTACAGAATATGAACTTCGAGAAACTGAAAGTCTAAAACAAAAGCAATTTCTTCACAATTCTCTTTTTAGGCTTGGAAACAAAGCAGTACTGTACTGATTATCACAAAATGAGAAAACAAAGGGATTTCTTGAGAAGAACCTGCAAATGTATCTTTCCTAACCGTAACAAATGGAATATCCCACAATTTCCTTGCATTTTCTTCATTTTTTTTTAGAGATCAATGCTATTCTGCTATGAAAAAACCAGCAGGATCTGGAAGCAGCAAATGACAGGAGAAAAAAAGATGATTAGTTCTTGTGGGCAGCCCCATCACAAGTCTACGTGGACCTGGAAGCTGCTTGCTTGAATGCAACTGTGGGAGCTATCCTGCAGCTCCTCTGTTGGTGCTCCAGCACGAGCTCCCCTGCAAATCTATCCAACTTCTCCATATTCGTTTGCTCTCCGATCCTCTTCCCACTAAATAGCACTGACTCTACATTCTTCTGCTTTAACATCTCTTCGGCTACCTCCAACAAGACCTTTACATTTGCTGGGCTTGGGTCGCTATCCACGTCCACAACACATCTCCCCATGCTTGAAGGCTATGCTTGTGGTAAAAAACAAAACACAACTAATTAATGTCCAGAATACCATAGAATGTCATAAAAGAAATACACATCATAGTATAAAAAAAATCAGCTAAGAGAGAAAAATGAGATAGCCCTATCGAATGAATTGGCACTTTAAACCTTTCCTAGTTGTATCTATAAATTTCTTCAACACTATTTGAAACCTTTCATATGAGTTATCGGCCTGCCTTCACATATTTATCAACAGAAAGCATGCAGTTTTTTCACTGATCTTTCATCGGGGCAAATGGTAGAGGCTATGCTATTATAATACAATCATCTTATGAAGGACAACAAAGTAGGCGAACGATTGACTGAAACCAAAGCAGGTAGGGTGTACTCGCTTAAGCTATATAGCCTCTAAATACACCTGAGTACCAAATGCATCTCAACAAAACTAAAGAAAAAGTCAATTATGCTCTCTAGCTAAACTGTAATAACCAGGTGTTTCCTGTCATTTAAAGAACAAAGGGTTAAGCTTTTCAAGGTGCAAACCATCATGAGTAACTTTGCTGAGCTAAACTGATCAATGTCCTGAAACAAAGAATAGGGGAAAGGCTGAGCAGGGGCCTGGGACAGGGACCCCCCCCCAAATCCCTGTTTGTGGGATGGGAAACATAAACTAATAGCCAATGCTCTAGCAATGTCATTGCTCTCTCTCTCTCCCCATGTGATCCCACAGTAATAGTGCAGCAGGAGGCTGCTCTGCTCACCACCACCACCACCACCATCACGCAGCATAGCAAGAGATGTGGCAGAGGCGTCCATCGACAGCTAGTACTAGTATATGAGGACAACTAGTTTTGATCACAATGCATTCTCGTCTCCCTTCCCACCAAGAATCACAAAACACCCGATATGTATGTGTATATAAGGAGATAAAAATATATAAAGAGAATCCGGTTTTTTCCCCTTAGATCAAATTTTAGTTCTAATTCGAGGAAGAACAGGGCATTCCCAAAGCAACCATGAACGCGGGGAGACCCCACGCCGGACCAGTCTGCACCTTCGGAACATCTTAACACCGTGGTCCTCATTCCCCATCACCCTCTGTAGGTGTACGTTTGCTACAGAGGCACCCGGGAGCGGGAGCAGGTTAACAACAAGTGAGACTGGGTGCGAGGGGAGTTACCTGGACACGCACGTAGTTGGAGCTCCGGCACTGACCGAAGGCCATCGCCACGGCTTGGTCCACCAGGTCGGCGGCTCCGTCGGCGGCGATCCGGGCTACCGGCCGGGTCCACTCCTTGGCGCCCCATCGCCGGAGCCTGCGCTGGTCTGCCTCCGGCACGACGGTTGCAGCGCCGGTCGCTCCGCAGCCGAGGGAGAGGACCATCAGGTCCTCGACGCCGCGGACGAAGGGGAACTCCTGCTTGTTGTGGAGGACGTGGGTGATGGCCGCCGCCGCCGGGTTGCTCATCGCAAGCCCGCCGTCGATGCCGACGCAGACGGTGGCACGGTCCACCGACAGTATTTCAGCTGGCTCGAACCGGCCCGGCTCCGCCCATGTTGCCCGGCACACCTCCCACAGCCGGAACTCGAAGCTCTCGCTCTCCAAAGCGTCGGCGCGCGAGAAGACGAACGGCGCCGAACTGCGAAGGTCGTGGCACGGGATCAGCACCGGCTTCACCGTGTCCCGCAGAGTGAGTCTCTCCCCGAACGCCTCCTTCATGACCTTCTCCATCGCCGCCGTGGCCGCAGCGGTTCCTCCGCCAACCCCGCCTCGGAAGACGCGGCGGAAGAAGGCGGGGGAGGACGATGACGAAGAAGAGGAAGAGGACGCTTTTCGGAAGAGGAGTTCACCGTGGTCGACAAGGAAGCGCCAGGTGTCATCGGCGTGGAACAGTGGGCGGGAGCCGTCGCGGGTGGCGAAGAGCATGGCAGCGAAGACGCCTCCGATGCCGGTGCCGGCGGCGACGTCGAAGTAGTCGGAGATCCGGGCGTCGGGATCGCCGGACCTAGACCTGAGGGCCTGCTCGAGGTACGCGAGGGCTTTACCGGGGAGGACGCCCCGCATGCCGCCGCCGCCACCGCCGTCGATGCAGAGTACGCGGACCTTGCCCCTCTGAGTCTTGACGGAGGGCGTCGCCACAGCCGCCGTCGTGCCGGGATCGGAGACGGGCAAGGGAGGCTCCTTAGTAAGCCAAAGCTTCTGATCCTCATAGCCAAAGAGGAATTTGCTCTCCAAGATGGAAAAAATCTCGTAGCTAAGCTTGTCGGCATCGACGCTCGGATTCGCCTCTTCCTCCTCCTCCTTGTCATCTTCCTTCATCTCACCGCTGCCCTTCTTCTTCCCCTGGCGCACGGTCACCAGCATCTCCTCAGCTGCAGCCATCCCGTCACCTCTCTGCATCCCTCGGGCCTTGTCTATTCAGCCCGTCTCATCGTCGTGGTGTCGGGACGACAGCGCAGGGCGAGGGGCGCTTGGGGGGAAGAGCTTTGTGCATATACAGAAGGGGTCAAACGGAGGAGGAAGACATAATTATAGGAGAGGCTAAACAGGGGAAGGGGGAGAGTTCCGCAACTACCAAACTGGATTCTTCCTATCTAAAAGGCAGAGGGGTAAACGGCCTGCTATCTCCTCCTCTTCCTCGTTTTCTCTCTTGGCTTTTGTGTCTTCGAATGATGGATGGACGGATGGATGGATGGAGGTGTTATCAATGGCAGGAGCGGCGTTGGCTCCTCTGCTTTTAGCTTCTTCCTCCGCCCTTTTTCACAGAGCACGCCAAGAAAGAAGGGAGAGGAGGAAGGGGGTGGGGAGGAGAAAGTCGTGGGTAATGGAGGAGGGGAAGTAGGGGAACAAAAGGACACAGGTGGTTTCAGAGCATGTCTTGCGCTAGTCGCTCTATAACCGATGTGACTTTTTTAATGCCTCCCTCGCTCTCCACCAATCACTGATTAAGGGGTCGCTTTCTCTCTCTTTTTTTCGTGTTAACCCTTCAAATCTTCCCTTCCGATGCCGCGATCTCATCTAATCCCTCCCTCCGGCTGTGTGTTTGGTCGCGAAGAAGCGGAGGAAAGAGAAGCACGCGACGACGGTTCCAAGGGACGTAAAAGTAAGACGATAACGAGAAACACCATTTTTTTTCCTTTTTTTCTTTTTTTTTTGCGTGTTAATTCATGAGAAAACACATATATATTCCGAGACACATCCTTAACTCCCTGCTCGTGTGCGTCGTTAATTGCGAGGCCACTCCATTCTGCAGCCTTGTATTATATATTATGCGAACCTGCTAAATAAATGATGGTGGGGCCAAAGCGTTTGGGATTGGAATGGGGGAGGAGGCGAGGTGGTGGCGTCGACTGTGACCCGCGACGACACGGTAACCACGAAGACCGTTGCGGCGAGTGATCGAAGAGTGGGGCCCTCGTTACTCCGTGATCCAACGGCCTGCATCTCCCACACGTACGTTTGGTTGGAAAACAATATCCGATTTCATTTCTCGCCTCCGTTATACAGTTAGATTAGAATATTAATAAATAACAATTAAAATAATTTCTTTCTACCACATCTTGTAGCTGTCGGCACACATATTTATTATATATACATATATACATACATAATGGGTTGGTTCAATGTTAAATATGATCCCATCACTCTTCAATAAAATATACTGTCTAAAATATAAGAATTGATCAAAGTGATTAAGAGTACTCTAATAGTGATATTTGGACCGGGTAAAGACATCAGCTGCTTCTTTCAATTATGAATGAATGAATGCATGTGTTTGCTTTAAATTTCAACGGATCAAGCTAAGGTATTTTCAATCAACTAAATCAAATTTGGGTTTTACTTAAATCTTCTAGTAAGTATACAAACTTTCTCTGGATTACTTAATGTAATCCTCCTTCAATCCCGTGGCTTTCGAGGTTGCCCACTTTCTCTCATTTATTGCATCGTAGTAATAATGCCAATAATAATTACCACCACTGTCTGTGTCTTTTCTACACGCTGTAGGAATGTGCAGACAAAAATGCCAAGGTCGTATATGGCTACAAAGCCAGAAAGGCAATGGGCTTACGACAACAGTAGCTTACGACTCCGTTCGTAGAATGAAAATAAGTATCGTTCATTAATGTACATGGCTACGAGAACATAATGCTTTAAGTACAATGTCATCAGCCATCATAATCCTTCCTGTAATGATTGACTGGGGAGCCTTCAGCTAAATGCTCGGGTCATCATCCAATAGTCCCTGCTTAATGCGGTGCAGGTTCCTCGAGTTGGTGGATAAAATATTTCTTTGGAGGCCACACGAGCGAGGGATTTAGATTAAGAGCGATTCATACATAGCAGCTTGTTCGTCTCGTGACGAATCTATTGTGAATGGAAGCTGAGGCAAAGTACAAAACCTCATGAGCTGATTTAAGCTAGATTAAGGACTGTGCAGCGTTTGAGTCTCGAGAAGGAGAAAAAAGGCAGACAAGTAGGTTTAACCGATGGAAGAACAAAAGAGTTTTTCCTTGTCCAACCACAAGTTTGAGAGTCGATGTAAGAACGAAGGAGCTTATGATGGTGGTGAAGGCAACTCAGATAGGAAACAGACAGAGGTGGAGGAGCACTTGCCTCTAATAAATAATATGGGTATAAGTGGCCCCTTCCTTGAAACAGACGAGAAAATGCAAGGGAAATGTAAAGAACGCATGATGATGATGTTGGACTGTCCAAGAAGGAAGTTTTGGTGTGAGGGGTGGGGACTGACATGCAAAGAATTTATGAGGCAGCCTGTACATTGTAACTCCGAGAATTACACAGATTTATGGTGGTCGTAGAAGAAGTGACAGGTAACAACACAAAGGGAATAGCCATAACTCCACATTGTTACTGCACCGGTGTTCAGAGATTGCTACACAAATACGTCCCTCACCTCCTACCACAATCCATCAAAGATGAAGTTTTCTGGGGCTCAAAACATCAGATATCACTGCCGACGTGAGTCCAGCACTGATCATAAAAGACGGTGGTGCTCATCAAATTGCCTATTTCCTTTCTGCATCCGAGTGCCAAGGATAACATATCTCCAACCCAACATCACCCAACGCAGTGCATGCAGAAGAATGAATATTAATACGAGTCCCGTGCTTTAGGTCGCATGGCCCGCCGTGTTGGCGGACACGGTTGGTGATCTAATTCTTTGGTTTCTTAAGATCGGACGGCCCATGCTGCCGGTGGTAGACGAGACAGGCGTAGCTTTTTGATTGATTGGTTGATTGATTCGAAACATTCTTCATATAACTACGACCCCACCGAGTTAGGCACACGATTCTTGCAGAATATATAGTATATGGGAATGATGCGACTATTGACGCAAAAGCGAGGAAGATACGCCCAATTTTAGTCTCCATGGTTTGGCCCTCACATTGTATAATATATGTGTATATAGAATACATATGAGATATCACATTGGCGTGACCGACGGACGAAGGGAGGTGATTCCGATAATGGAGGTTGCGTCATGCATGGAGGTGGACATGCTTACGGAATTGAAAGGTCTCTAAAAGACGGATAGTGATTTAACATTGGAGTTCGGTTCTATTTATTTCAGTAGGTTGATTGAGTTGTCATTGCGTCAGTAGTACTCGTAGAAGGTGAATTTTAGTTGTCGTCATAAGTTTGTCTTTCTGCGAGTTGCGTGATCGAGTTCGAATAATCTCTCACATCTTACATTCTATCAGATCATTTTATATCGGATTGTCTTTTTAGTGAAATAGCGTATAATTAATTGGATGAATTTTGGAAAAAAGAAATACTTATTTTTGGATTTTTCCTGAAAGCCACCCGATCTAGTTATAATATTTTTGCCAAGATAATATTTTTTTCTTAGCTCTAAATCAGTAACAATGTCTATTTGAAACCCCACTAAGTATAAGAAAATAATATGCAATAATGTATTTTGAGTTATTATTCCTCATTTATGGTGTTTTTCGTAGAAGTCAAGGTTTTTTTAATATATTTTTTCAAATAAATAAGAGTATCTACTAAAATATTTCATGAAATTTTAATAAATATGATAATATTAATAGCTAATATTTATAATAATTTAAATTAAATGGAACCGAATTACAATGTTTTTAGTTTAGTAACAAAAAAAGCGCGCATCGTAATCGATTTGGTTTAACATCGAACTAGGTCGATCGATTTAATCCTGTTAGGTTTCGATGGAAAAATGTTGGTTTTAATGAGGATATTTTAAAAAAAATAGTGGCTCTCTTTCAGCATTTTGGAAATGAGGAATGCTGTATGGAAAAAAAAAACCCTAAAACTTGGAGTTTTCTCAAAAAAAAAAATCACCTCAATTAATTAAGGTTTGACAATTGCATGAGAATTTTTAGCATGTCATAAATGCTACTTTTGTTCCTCCTGGTTGAGCCTTTAATTATTAGAAAATAGAACAAGAAAACCTATTCTTATTGAACATTTTAGCTGATAAATAAACTAGTTTGTGGTATTCTGATAACATCTGGTTTCAGACATGATTATGTTGTAACAAAACCTGTTCCTATCCAATCTACAAGATTAAAATTGAAGTTAAAAGATTAATTCGTCTATTTTCAGAGACAATTTCTCTTCTCTTTATCAAATAAGGCCTTCATACAATCCTAGTAAGCCCATTATTTCCAAGATTGTATGGGTTGCATACCCAAACATACCAAATTAATTCCATTTCACAATAATCATCAATTTGTAGTAAAAAGCAACTTTCTTAAAGCATACGCTTCGGTGTGTATTTTTGCTTCGGTTTCTTTTATAACGTAGTTCCTCAACAGCTTTACATATGCTTTCGATAAACAAAAACCTTTTTTTTGTAAGATTATATGATCATTTATAATTAGATAAGATATATAATAGAATTAACTGGATTCTGATGATAGATATTGACTCTTTAGAAGTTGAATGATACATATCATAGAGGATTTAGTTAAAAGATTATATTTTCTCTCTCAACCTCCCTAATTCATCAATTAAGTGTGATCTATGAAGATAAGAATAAAAAAGGAGAGTCTAGTTCTGAGATTACTAACGGTTTTGGATATAAAGATAATATCTTTATAGATCATACAAATATCCTTTCATATGGCATCAAAAGATACGTATCATAAAACCAATCTAATGATATTTGATTTAAATCTTAACATAAAAATTTTTATAATATTTTTTATGCTTATATTTATGGATAAAAATTGAAGAGTAGACAAGTTAATGTGTGATATAAGTCTATCATTATTATCCTAAAAGCTATGGTAATTGTTTGCTCTGATATCACTTGAGAAATTTGCTGTAAGATTCTCTAGTTTCTTTATACGGTTAGACAGACCAAATGATGCTATTGAATCCCCCTCTCTCTCTCTCTCTCTCTCTCTCTCTAACCTTTTGAATTGTTGTCACCATATTCAATCAAAAAGGTTATTACAGAATATTATCATTAAAAACACACACATTTAAAAAAAATAAAATAAAATATTTGAAGCATGTAATTCTCGTTCTGACATTTAAATTCTCTCGACACCAAGACCATGTCACAAACACCACTTTGGTTATTTATCTTTCGTATTGACATGTTTACATATTGACCAATCCTGTGATGTCTAAATTGGTATTGAGGTTGAGGGATTTAAAGGGTTCAAGAACTATGAGTTCAAAAAATATTCTCTCTCAGGTCTTTTGTAGCTCGTGAATGTGAAAGTGAATCATCCAAATAGAATATATATATATATATATATATATATATATATATATATATATATATATATATATATATATATGAATGTACAAATAATAATTATAACCAAGTGCAAGTAACATCCCAATTTACTCAACATTAAAAGTGAACAAGACTTAGACTGGGAGATTGATAAATCAATTTTAATTCAATAAGTTAATAAATCAATTATCTTATTTATTTATAGTGTAAATGAGTTCAGGTCAACATTAGACTATAATACAACTTGCTACCACCATTCTTTTATGGTCTTTAGCATCACATTTTGGAATTTATAGATTGAATTATGATCTTTACTTTGTTGTTCATGCATTTTTTATATTTTTAAAATCTCTAAAAAATAATAAAAATTATAAATAAATATTGAAATATTTTAAACATTAGACTATAATAAAAGATTAATGTAGCTGATCTCAAATAAAAGATTCATGTTGTTGTTATTGTACTTTGATGCAATCCGGGTGATATAATTCTCTGCCAAATTTGTTGAGCCTCATTTGTTGGAATATGAAGGATTTATGCTGCTAATTCCATCTCAAAATACAAGCTTTACAAACAATTATATGGCTCAGATCATATTTAACCAAGTCAATGATCAAAGACTAAATCACACGATGTCTATATGGCGACTATGAAATAGATCAAAAAGGCTAACAAAGAGATCAAACATTGGTATAGATAAGAAACAAAAAAAAAAAAGGGAATCAAATTTATCTCTATTTCTTCTCCCAAATGCTCGTAATGTACTCGAGTGATCGCCATCAATCAATGAATTTATCAATCTCAAAGCATGTCCCTTTGGGTTGCATACCCGTACCTGGACCGCCGGATGTTCTCCTGCCGCTTCTTGTACAGCACCACCCCCGCCGCCAGCACCGCTGCCGCCATTATCACACCCACCGCGATCCCCGCCTTCTTTCCCCCGCTCATCCCTCCCCCTCCTACGTCCTCGTCAGCTTGGTCGGCATCCTCCCCGGATCGGATCTCCTCGTTGCTCGGCACCGGCGCTGGGGGCGGCGTCGCGGACGGGGTAGGGGTAGGGGCAGGCGAGGACACCTCCGATGGCGGCGCCAGAGGGGGGAGAGAGTTCTCGGGGGACGGGGAGAGAGACGGAATAGAATCCGGCGAGGGTGCGGGAGGCGACTGGACGGGCCCTCCGGCAACCGGCGAGGGCGAGCTCGACGGTGCGACCAAGGAGAAAGCGAGATCGGCAGTCGAAAGAAGGAGGAGGAGGACGACGGAGATCAGCAATGCCGGTGGCGAGGGGGAGCGGGCCGCTACCGCTGCCATGGGAGAGCAACACTCGCAAGCAGCCGACTGGAGATCTGAAAGAGAGGCAGGCGAAGAACCTGATTTCTTTGGGCTGTTTGTACACAGGCGGGCGCCATTATATATACAGGCCGGCAATTCTGGCGTAAAGCTGGGAGATGGACGGTGTTTGCCGTGAGATCCACGGTCCCACAGGCTAACGGTGAGTACGCCTCTAATTTGACCGTCCGATATGCACATCCGACCGTCCATCGTAATGATCAAGCCACTAAAAACGTCCACGTTGTCGTAAATAATGCAATAATTTGAAGGGAATCAGAGTTTACCAGGGGCTCGACTACGCTGCAGGGGTGACCGGACCCGCGCTATTTTTACGCGTTTCAGTGGCCGGGAGTCGACTGTGGCTCGTGGGAATAGAGTGGACTTGGGGGGCTTGGGATCTCGTGTCCGATGTTAAAGTGGGTGAGGATATCGAGACCATTCCATCGCACTGGAAGATAACTCTGATAGATTGCAAGTAGTTAGCATCAGACCATGATGATCAAGTGGGTGATGAATAAGGAAATATCATGTACTATTTAATCTCGGTCACATGACCATGATATACTTCTCACTGCAGATTGACACCAATTTCATTTGGGATGTGTTAGGTTTCTCAGTGCAGATTGACACATTTCTCACATGAATACCTTTTCTTGCTACTAGCTCGCTTGATCACTTAAGAGAAGAAAGAGATCATAATCTTATTCATACCATACCATAAGTATCCTATCTCTTAAAACTTCGGCCCCTAATTTAATAACGAGTTTTGATCTATTTATTTATATTTGTACTCTTAATCCAATTAATTTTTTTTTTAAAAAAATCTTCACCTTCGTATTCCTAAATTAATTAATTTAGGAGGGATATAATTTGGGTAGCAAATGAAGAGTGAGGCGGGACCCATACCAAAGGCAGATGAAATGGTTATCTTACCCTTAACATAATAATCATCGGTGATATCATGTGCAAAGATTTTCGTCAAAGATACATGTGGTGCGATCAAAAATAAAAAATAAATTATGACAATTTCAAAATTATGGAAACCCATTATGCCTGCCTGCCTGTTAAAGAGTTGAGGGATCCGCTCCTCGGAGCCTAACTGCATCCGAAATATGTACTTGGGCCGAGAATCGGCCCCACAAGGTCGTCTTGGAAACCTAGAGACGCGTTTAGGGTGAGAAGAAAAGCTTCCGCGATAGATCGATCGAACGATCGATCGATATTGCTGTCTCTGATCGGACTCCACGAGGCCTCGAGGAGCCCGCCGCCCCGACCAAGCGAAACGAGGACAGGCTTCGCCCCCGTTCCCAGCGATCCCAGCGTTGTCGCTGCCCTTCCGGAGCTCGATCTCCGACAGAGAACCGCCCCACCGCTTCGCCGTGAGTCCCTCCCCCCTCATCTCCCTTTGCTCCTCTGACTGTAGCCGATTTTGTTACGGCTGATAAAAATTGGTGGTGCCTGTGAGGATTTGGTGTTCCAATATTATCTTTGCCCATTATGATATATAAAACAGATCTGGAGGAAGTAGCTTCTTATGTTATGAGCATTGTTGGTGCTTGGGTGTAGCAACCAACACTGCATTTGTGTGGATCAATTGAATTGCTTCGTTAGATGAAAGACAGCAAAACAAATACTGATTAGGAGATAACCATTGCCAGATGAGAATAACTTTGATTCTAACTTTTAAGAATAATTGTTGTGTAAGGTGGCTTGTCCAAAGGTGACCTAAAGATGCTAAGGTTAGATGGATTGAGCCTATTAAGACTAGTGTTCTGAGAAGAGGTACAAAACTTTCTTACGAGTAATGAAAATTATATTTGACTGCACTTTGTTTGGCTAGTTATCTCAATGGAGAAAAAAGATACATATAGCCAACTTCAGATGTTCGGGGCATTATAACTTGTTATTGTTTCTTGTACAGTCCTTGTCACTTATGTTGTTTGAGGACCCAAGGCTGCGAGCATAAGAAATTCATGGAGAAATATTTTGGTTTTTTTCTCAAGACCTCTGAATTAGTGAATTGAGGATGTAAATAAGTTCTTTAGGTTTATAAGGGAAACACTGTACTCTGACTATGTTAAATAAATAACTTGAGTATCTTACATTTGTATCACAATAATCTTTTTGTTGAGAAAATTCTCAATCGGCAATGAAATATTTGTCTTAATTACCTGCTCCAAATTGCTGATTCAGAGTCAACCATTCATCTTGTCTATTGCTAAAATGTTCATCTCATAAACAATATGCATCTTGCCCCAGCTATCGGTGGTCGTCTGTATCACTAACTGCTACTGATTCATGAAAAAGAAACCTGAAGCTTCTTCTCTTATTGCTTAAGGGTTTTCTTTGTTGATCGGGATCATTTGGTAAATTGAATCCTGCCTTGAATTTATCTTTCCCACACATTTTTTAATGTGATTAATTATTTTTAAGGAAATTTGGGCATTTTCTTACTAAATATACAGTCACACCATTTTCATTGTGTAATATTTTTAATTTTATTTGCCATATCTTCTTTAGGTCTAAAAGTGGATAACGTACATATCAATAGGAGGAAAATCACATCCACTTCAATTTGAATGTGATCTTGGAAGGTACTAACAGATAGTAAAAATTTAAACCATATTTCCTTAAAGAAAATATGAATTTTAATTAGATGTACAATGGCAACCTTGTTTGCATTTAGAAATTTAATCGAACATTTAAATTTCACAAACTTGAATATGACTTCCATATAACTGAAAGGAAGATAGGTCCTTCCACTAATATTTCCAAAATAAGGTGGAGACTCTCTCTGGTATCAGTGAAGCTCAATAATATTGTGTAAAACATGCTTGTAGCCATTGCTGCTTTTAATATCTACTTATTTAGATTCATTTGCCTAGAGATTACTTGATGCAATTGTGCACTTGTTGTTTATTTCCTTTTGATGGTAGCATGACACATCAGATTGTTAATTGTGCTACTGTACTCCTTCTGTATTACTGGATATTTCCATAAATTTTACATTTCCTGAACTCATACTTCTGAAATTTCTAATGGTTAAACTTCCTAGGTATAACTCCTAAAATCATTTTTATTCAATTTACTCAGCTACTTGGATACCTTGTGGTATGTCTCAGATATTCTTTTAGTACTTGATACCTTGTGGTATGTCTCAGATATTCTTTTAGTACTTTTCACTTTCTTCTCTCTGAAATTCATAGGGTTTTTCATGGCCGTTGACATGGGAATCTGACATGTTAGGGACAGTTGTCAGAAGATGATATATTAAAAAAATGATAAACTTGTCATAATATTGTGAGAATATGAAATTTTGGAAAATTAACTCATGAAAAGGCCTAGAATGACCAAAGAATATCCTTTTTTGTTGCTATGTTATTGGAATATTGGAATTAAATAATTGAATAATCTTTTGACGTGTGGGCATGTCAGTAGACTCCAGACATGGCTTGTGAGTATAGAGGCTAGATTCCATAGCAAGGGGAATTTGCCTTTTTTTTCTGTAGTTTTTAGAAAATGGCTGAATTATTTTTTGGTCTTTGATTTATCTTTACAAGATTTTGCTTACATTTGCATGAACCAAAATTTAGACCGTGATTAGTTCCAGATAGATGGTATATGTTGAGAAACTTGTCTGACTATGTCATAACTAAATCTTTACAGGTGACAAGTATATATTTTGCAGGTTACAAAGACTAAATTGGTTGAGTGTTATCATTCTATTTGGGAAGCTTTTGTTATGCTCCTGATGCCTTATTATAGACCTTAATTATTTACTGGTCATGTACTGTAGACATCACCATGGCATTTGGGCAGAATGCTACTGATAATTGCCTGCAAGAAGGGTCACATGTTGCACTAATAAATGGTCTTCCAGATGAAATTTCAATTCTTTGCTTGGCAAGGGTTCCTCGAAGGTACCATCACATCCTTAGATGTGTTTCAAGGAAATGGAGAGCTTTGTTATGTAGTGAAGAGTGGCATTATCATCGTCAAAAGAACAATATGGAGGAGACTTGGATTTATGTCATGTGCAGAGCAAACTTGAAAGGAAATCTTTGTTATGTGCTAGATCCAGATCCTGCTAACCGAAGTTGGAAACTCATTCAACCTATACCCAGTCCATGTTTAAAGAAAGATGGAATGTCTGTTGAAGCTTTAGGAAAGAAGTTGTATCTGTTAGGTGGTTGTACCTGGCAAGAAGATGCTACGGATGAAGTATATTGCTATGATGCTTCTGCAAATAAGTGGGATGTGGCATCTTCAATGCCAACAGCTAGGTAATATAATTTATTTCATAATTCCTAGTTGTTCGCTTTATACTCTCTAGTGGTAATAATTTATATTAAGAACTGTTTCGCTAGGAAGTATTCTTCTCTTAACTATCTCTTAATTTGTAGCTTCAGTTATCGAGTTATTGTTTTCTTATCAATTAGATATATATTTCAAGGCAATCCTTTCAAGCAGTGCCCATGTAGCATCCACAAAACTTTGATGGGGCATAGTCAACTGAGCTTTCATCATTTTGCTCTCCTCAGGTGCTTTTTTGTGTCAGCATCTCTGGATGACAAGCTCTACATTAGCAGCGGGCTTGGTCTGCGTTCAACTGCTCCAAATTCATGGGACATCTACCACTCAGATTCAGACAGCTGGATTTCACACAAAAATCCTCTGCATAACCATGATGTCATAAAACTCATTGCTTTAGAAGGGAAATTGTGTACTATCCACAAGTCGTGGGACGGCTTTTCTTATGCTGGGATATATGATCCTGCATCTGCAACCTGGCAGGGTATAGACAATGAAATTGCACTATCTACTTATGGACCTACAGTTGTTGTGGATGGGGTACTTTACATGTTGCACGAATCATCAGGGATGCGGCTGCTGAAGTGGCAGGAAGAGAGAAAGGAATGGGTTGCAATTGGTAGGTTGTCTTCCCACCTCACAAGACCACCGTGTCACCTTGTGGCCATTGGAAGAAGTATTTATGTGATCGGGCAACGTCTGAGCACCGTGGTCATTGATGTGGATGAAGCAGCTAAGGTTGAAGGGCTGATGGTCAGTTCTTCTTTCAGTCCTAGATTTGAATGTGACCACACTGTTATTAGCTGCAACACAATTACCATCTGAATGAATCCAGCCACAACAACTGCAGTTTATCGGGTCTGGCAGATCATAGTTTCCAAATTATTAATGCAGGTATTGCATTTGCCCAAGAGAACATGATTATTGTTTTCTGTCAGCATACATTTCTAAACTCTTGGATATCAATAATCATGTTCGGAGGTATTTCTTAATTTGAGCTCAATGATTGTTGTTAAGGTAATAAGGTTGAGCAATGTTCATGTGAATGTAAATATGTTTTGTCAGTCAGGCATAATTGTGATCATTGAATCATATTCTATGATAAGATTGAGCCTTATACTCCTATGCAAAGCTCAAACAAATTGAGCCAACTTAGGGCACCATAATCAATCCTACTTGTTGAAGCTTCATCAAATGGCGATACTTATGCTAGCAAAGTGAATAAATTTGACCAAACACTATGGAGCCAACTTAGTACACCATGATCAATTATTTTTATTTTTTTTAAAAAAAGTTATGATAATTAATTATTAAAATTTAATTTTTTTTTTGAACAGTATTGTGGTCAAGTGTGACTTTGTCTGATTTTGAGATTGTAATTTTATGTATAATTTGATCATTTTTATTAAATTAATCTAAATAATCACAGAACCATTAGGATATGGTTTTTAGATGATTGCTATTATTATTTTTATTTTTAAAACATTATGATAATTAGTTATTTAAATCAGGAAGTTTTGAATATATTGTATGATTGATTTTAACTTAATTAAATTTCGATTTTTCTAAAATAATCAGTATCATTTATTTTATTTTTTAAAGATTGTATGATAATTAATTATTAACATTAAAAAAAATAGGTTCTGTGATCAAATGTAACTTGGTGGAATCAAATGGATCAACTCATTTACAGGGTCTGTTAGTCATTTAAGCAAAAGTATAAAGGCATTTTTGTTCAAGTAAAAGAAGTCATAAAAGCGAATATGAGGTGTCATCCAATAGAAAACCAATAATAATAATTTTTTTAAAAGTAAAATACTCTATATAGAAGGATAAATGAACCATAAATAAACTTACCATGAGGAATAAAAGCTCCCAGATCCATAAACCAAAATGTTAATTCATAAAGAAGATTATACAGATCCAAAAGAACAAAAAAAATCTAGAATCTCTTTAAAAATAAAAAATATATATATTACATATTTAGAGGAGTAAATTTCTTATATTGGCATTAAATATTATCAACAAAATATTTTTCGAGCATAAGAAGTTGGGAATTCCTTTGATTATTTATTGATAAGGGGTTCAGAACACTTGGGGAATCCTATATATATATATATATATATATATATATATATATATATATATATATATATATATATATATATATATATATATATATATATATATATAT